TCTCTCTCTCTCTCTCTCTCTCTATCTCTCTTCCTTTTAGCATATTTACTAAATTTTATTCCTTCCTCACATTCATACAAGCAGTGAGTATAACTGGATATCATCTGAGAAGCTCACTCTTACTCACTCTCTGTATCTTTTCCTAATAATTTCGTTTATTGGCGTTCTTCTGACTTTCACATGAAATTCATTAGAAAAGGTGATACTTTAATGCTTCTTTAATACTGTTCCTATCGCATATTCCCATGTGTAGTAGTACATCTAAACATTCACGGAAGGGGTCTTTCAAGGCCGGCTCTTTTTCTCTTTGTAGCATATTATTTTCACATCCTATGCCGCCTTGCTACAAGGGTATATTAAGTTCGCACAGTTCTATAAAACATCTACCTTTTACTATTACGATTAATTCGAATCAGTTTTTGAATCATATCTGCCGGCTTGTTTGTCTGTCCGTCTTGTATTGCTATGTTCAGTTCTATTTGGATGATATTTGGTACACTGACATGTTTTGGCTCAAGAGCGAACGCTATTTTGAAAATGGTTCGTATTGGTCCACTTTTTCGACCACTTCCCGTATAATACCTTTTTTCGAAAAATAGTTACATCAATAACTGTAGTGGCCGTGGCCCACTATAATGTTTTCCCTTGTTATATACTAAAAACACGTCTTTCTTACTCTACATTGCATATCACCCACTCGACACTCTCTATGGTCTCACCCTTTTACTCCTCGGACTCTGTTTTCGCTATGATTCGCGCACACAGTGGATGCATTTGAATGCGATTTGCAGAGGTTACTTTTTTAGAGGCTCATTATCCTTGTAATGCTTTCTTCCTTGGCGTATCGAAACTAAGCTGTGCATGTGGGTTCTTACTGTTGTCATTGGATTGGGTCGCGCCTTCAGGCTTTCTCGAATATTGATTCGTCTCTTTTTTCTATGTAGTAATAACTGCAGCTCATTCTTGCATTTTTCTCTTTTTAATATTTTCTTCTCTGTCTAATTTAATAATTGTTTGTTCAATTTTTACAACAACATACGACCGCATGACTTCAAAATTATAAGAGAAGTTTTCTGTCATTTTCAAAGATTACATAAAGTATACATATTCTTGGCCAGATAACACTATATAAGTTTACACATGTGTTCCGTAGGCGATCCTACATTATCTTTGTGTAAATAGGAATTTATCGGCCACATTCAATCGGTTTGGAAAATCTGGAAAGAAGCTTCGCAGGTTGTAGAAAGTGTAGAATTTTAGTGTAGAAGATTTAGCCCATATAGGCGTGTCGATTGGTCCGTTTTTCGGTCTCGGCAGACTCGTGTGGCCGATTCTTCAAATTGCAGTAATCACGGTATCAGGTTTAAATTTGGAAAAAGATTGGTAGCTATTGCAGGTAAATGACTATATCGGCGAAATCAGTGGAAGGACACGCCGACAATGCAACATAAGCTGAGAACACCTTTATTTTCAAAAACGCCTTTTCCTTCATCACTCATAAGCTATAACAATAAAAACCTATATATTGTGCTTTAAAATAACAATGGCGGGCACAGAAGATTCAACCATAGTCGGACATAATTTCCTGATTTGTTTTCCTATGATGTTTTCCTTTTTTTAATTCATGTACAAAACGCTTTTCACGGTTTTGTCTTTTAATTTTTATTCTTAGGTTACTTAAAGATGTAAATCATTTAAAGTGAAAACGGGGCAGACGTAAACGTTTCCGGAAAGTATCGTTGCCTGGGTAATGAGAAAGTAATGATCAGTAGGATCGAGCAGCCAAGTCAAAGTTAAAGCTGAAGCACTGAAGCTCCCACAAGTCACTTAGATGGTCCCTAAATGGAAAATAAATGGCATGAGACATTTCAATAGCAACTGTTTCTCTAAAGCGAAGTGTAAATAGCCCGCCAACATCGCATAGATTTGTTAAAATTTGAGCTTTTGCTATAAATCACAATTTCGAGAAGTGTTTGATAAGTTATGGTCTACCCCGAATTATAGAAGAATCAGCAGCAATTAAGATTAAGATTAAATAATTTTACAAGATGTACACATATGAGCAGTACTAAGCCTTACATCAGAAAAGCAAAAAACCAAGTTTTTGCTTTTAAGTATCATGCAGCTTGTGTCTATAGTTATGGCAATAGTGTTGCAAAAAGTTCTAGAGAAATATGTGCACTCTAGACTTTTGTTAAAAGTTATCAGAAATACATGATGTTGATGTGGACCGATCATTACCAAACCATGTCCGCAAAGTACCGTTAAATAATTTAAAGAAACAAGTGAAAACGCCATTAAACAGTCTACACCACCGCACAGTTGTTCACATAACGACTTTTTTAAAAAAGATGTTATAAGGAAAGTTGCCGAAAAAGTGATCCCATCGGATACATTTTCAATTGCGTTCCTCCTTGAGCCAAAACCTGTCGTTGTATTAAATTTCATCACAATATCTCAAAAATTGCATTGATTGAGCAAAAGAAAATAAGGCGGATAGATGGACAGACAAGCTTAGATTCCGTCGGCATAGTAAAAGCCCAAGTTCTTCTGGTATGCATTCGCACAAACATAATATACCCTTGCACCACAAATGATGTAAGGTATAACAAGATATTATAGGGGAAGTGGTGGAAAAAGCGATCCTATAGAAACTCTTTTCAATAGCGCTCGTCCTTGTTCCAAAATATGTCAGCCTACTAAAGTGTTGAACATAATAAACCAAGGCAGACAGACGGACAGATGGACAGACAAGTTGAAATTGATTCAGAAAGCGATTCTGATTATATCGGTGTAATAAAAAAATGTTCAATGCAAGCGCGAAAGCTTAACACCACAAGTAGTGTATGGTATTAAAAGTTTTTGATGAGTAACACCAGTCCCGCTATTGGAAAATGTAACTTTTTATAAACAACATGGTGCCTTGCACAAACCTAAAGAAAAATGTAGGCTGTAGACTGTCCTGGTCGACTATTTTCATTCCGATAAAATATAAAAGTATTTCTGCTTTCCAATCGTCTGCCGACTGTTTGTACACGAAACTACTCGCAAAGGTCAGTTACAGGTGAACATTAAAACATCGAGTTTACACTCAATTTGCCACGATGTCGATCAATAGGTAAACTCTGACATAGATTAGTTAAAGTGTCGTCTTAGGGATCAAAAAGCCTTACATCTTACGTCGCAAGTATGTCGGGCTGCCATACACACAACGACAAAAAGCAACAATTTGTCTTTGTAGTCAGTCTATTGAGAATTATTATTAAAAGAATAATAAAATAAACGATGCGCATAGGCATACGTTAAGAAGAACTTATGAGAGCAATTATGAAAATTAAATTGTCATTTTCATTTGTGAAAATAATGTTGTCGGCAAATTTGATCATTAAATTAAATTATTGTGACACAGAGTGAATTTGATTATGAAAGTGTATATAATGGCGATGATGAGGCACCAACCAAATGCTTCGAGGACGAATAATAATAATAATATGAAAACATTTTTAATTTTTATTAAAAG